GCTAATACACAGTGGGATTTCCCTAAGTGGGCTGTCTCGCTTAGCGGCTATCCTGATTCTCATATAAACATCCCCTTAGTATGGGCTTAGATAAATGTTAATTAAGTACCTCTTCAGGGATCTAGCATCTTCCTGTTTAAACTTCTCTATCAAACGCTGCATTCTCTCTCTACATGCCCTTCCTTTTAACTCTACTGGTTTGTCTTCAGTAGAAAATAAGGTGCTTAAATTTGTTGCAGTAATCTCCCATGCTTGAGAACTGTCTGGTTTACCTGCCGCCACTTCTTGTGCTAGCGCAATATCATGTTTTGTATCTGGCCATCTAAAAGGGGCCATGATTCAAACCTAATAAAAAGAAAATCTCTATGAGCAGAACTATTATGGGCCATTCCATTTAATGCCACCCCCCCCCCCCCCATGGACAAGTTCAATAAAATTTGAACCCCTAAGAAAAAAGATAAAAGGGTTGACACACACAAACACACACACACAAATTAAGATATTTTTGCCCCAAATTAAGAAAAAAAAGATCAATGCATGCTAATACATTGCAGATATTCAGCCCCCCTCAGAAATTCAAATTCTTGTCTTGTTATATAAAAATGTTGTTATATATCAAGAAACAACAAAAAAGCTGGGCAACGTACCAAACTACGGTCTCAAAAAACACTTATTTAAAGTAAATCAAGTTAAAATTATATGTAAAATTACGTTTTTATTCATGATTATTCCAAACTGGCATTCGCCAATGGCAGACGCCATGTTGTTTTCAACTTTCAACACGAGTGACAATTAAAACACTTAGATTATGTATTATTTTTGACTCAGAAATCCTCGCAAAACTTTTGTAATAGAGCAGGAAGTAGCCCTTGTTATTAATTTACTAAGAAAACATGTAATAACTAATTATTTATTTCATAATATCTTGAGGTAATCGCCTTACCTCTAGAGACGTAGCCAGACGTTCAAAACGTGAACCAAAACGCCAAAAAAAACGGCGGGAAAATATACACGTCATTTCCAGCCGTTTGACGTTTTGCGGAAAAACGTCAATCTGTAACTCTCTATTATGCAAAGCGGCGCTCGCACGATGAAAAATAAATACACAAAAAATAAGAGCATTTGCTGCGGTTCCATAAGATGAAGTTAGGATTTTAATTTTGTCACTACCGTATTTCTTGTTCCTAAGGTGAAATCTTTATATAATTTTAAAAACAAATACACTCCGCAATTTCAACACTCCGCAATTTCAACACTCCGCATTTTCAACACTCCGCATTTTCAACACTCTGCATTTTCAACACTCCGCACTCCGGCACTCCACATATTCATGTAAACCTAATAATAGTAATATCACAATAGCTATCTAGTATAATTCCACACTTCAGTGCTAATCTGAATGGCTATTAATTATTACTTCGAAAACCTTAAAATAGATATATACATTATTGATACATATCATACATAATATTGCATGGTAACTTGTGGGCTTTTTCTGAGGTGAATTACATGGGTCGAATGTTAATTAAGTTATCACTTAAAACTACTTTTAGTATACTATGAAAATAAGACAAATCCTAAGTTTTGAGGAGTATAGGAGCCATATATCTAGCATCATACAAAAGTGGGTTTTTAGTCTTTTCCTTGTAGAAGACATGCTTTAGCATCTTATGATTTTTGACAAACTTCATAGCCTGCAGTTGAGTGAGCATAATTTTATTGACGATATAGAATGTTAATAAAATAATTAATATTAATAGAAGGAAATGGATGTTGGGAAGCAATAACAATTATAATTTAAAAGATTTCCATTAGGCCATTTTGGGCTAATTAGATATTACTTATGTATGCATGTTTGCCACTCTAAATAACACCAACCAATAAACAGGTCAGGAACCAGAAACAGGCTTCTGTTAAATTGTTGGCCCATAATAAAGATATAATCATGACCAATTCGGAAACACACTGTACTTTTTGATGAGAGACACATTCATTTTTATTTACTAGTCGCTGACAACAGGAAATGTGCTGCAGATTACAAGCGGGGACAGGTAATTACATCTGTCTACACAGCCAGACAAAATGACTGATGAATGATACCAACAACTGCATGTTTTTGACGTGGGAAGGGTGTGCAATTCCAACCGAAAGTGAGTTTCGTCGGGACCACACGAGTAGCATTGGTGATTTGGTGTACATATTGCTAGCGGATTTGCTGTAGTATAGCTAAATCGAGTTATACACAAGGTGCACATTAGGCGGGTGTGACATCACCAGCTTTTGTCAAATTAGTCTGAAAACCTGTATGGGTCCAAGTCAACCAGACGCTCATTTCGGGCGAAATTATAATTGTAGATCTTTCCTATCAGCCCTTTTCAACCATATTAGCAACGGAAAACTAATCTAATATGAATAATAATAATAATATGAATTTAATAATAATAATACTAATATGAATTTTTCCAAATTTTTCATCTAGTTCTTTTCGGATATAACAGGTAGTCATGGTCTGACAGACCATGTCAGACATAGTGTCCGGTCTGGCGGTCTCTAATATGAAATTAGCTATAACACACATATGTATGTATGTAAGAAACATTCTTGAATAAATTAGTTATGAACAAAAAATAGTTTTCATTTGTTAACTTTTATAGGCTGTGCATGTGATTTTATATAATCTTTTATAATATAACATTTATAGTACGCACATGCTGATTGGTCAAGAAGCGTGCTTCTATTTAACAATTAGATAACGAGCCTGAGTTGTCTATGAGCGAATAGTCAACGAAGGCGAAGCCTGAGTTGATTATTCGCTCATAGACAACGAGGGCGAGTTGTCTAAATGTTTTAGTATACCCTGTACCTAGATATATTAATTTCAAGAAAATAATTTAATCAATTCAATTTTATACACTTGCGCAAGCGAATTTTTCCCAAACGTTCACCATCACGAATAGACAATTGTTGAGTAGCCAATCAGAATGTAGGATTTGTAATAGACAATAGTCAGGTGTATACTAAAACTGTATAGAAACATGGAAAATGTTTTCTATTTCTTTATTAACACACAGGGTGTATAAACTAGGGATCCAAGGATAGTGCAAAGTTTCCATGCCCTGTAATACCTGAGCAACCAGACGTTTGTCCCAACATAAACATTTGATAAACTAGGTTAAACATTAATCAACAGGAAATTACTCAAAGTACTCAAGTTACATTAGTCGCAAATATTGTCACTATTAGATTATAATTTTAGTTGCCCATGTAAACCGGGCGCGATTTTCTCAGTCTAATTGTATTTTATCAATTTGCCTTTAATATACTCAAACCGCCATATAATAGTCCAATAGGAAAGTTAATTTTTTAGAAAGTAATTTAATCTTTAAGCTTATCTTACATACATGTACCAACTTCAGGCATCAAACGTAGTTTTTCGATACCCTACTGTGAATATGTTTTCAACTGTGAATATTTCGACTGTGAATATGTCAGTGTGATACTCAGTATGATACTCCAATTTTTGACCGTAGATTATAGTTGACAGTATCACTATCAGAAAGTAAATTGCCCTGGGTCCAGGTGCTTGAAAGATATTATTATCGATTTGCTATTATCAATTTAGTGAAAAGTGTGCTGAAATATTTAGATGTAAATTACTAAATAGTTTAGTTTACAATGGAAGTAGCTACATGCATATTTAAAGATAGGATAACACAATTTGAATAAAACCCCATAGATTCAGGACAGTGGCAATGCACCGCAATTAGTACAGGGTGTACAAGGCAATCACTTATAATATTCATTCATGAATATTTGCTTTAGTGGCTTTCCATACGAACACAAAGGATTGGGTATTCATTAATTTTTGCGTTTTTAGTGCAGTTTGAGAAACTTTGCAGTATTGTGATGAGTGGCGAAAATTTAAACGAGTCAGTAAGTCAGTCAGTCCTTGTGTAAACTTTACAGGTAGTAAGCTAATTTATGCGTATAGTAACTTTTTGAACATGATCAGTAATTTAAAGTTTTTAAATTAGTTTAACTTGCTTTATTTATATGCAATTTCCCTTTTTCTAAGTTCACCAAAATATTGAGGTATTTTGACCGTTACTGTAAATTTTGAATCATTGCTTTTCTGTGGTTTGGGTGAAGAGATTTGCGTAGTTTACCCCCCGAAACACCCGATTTTTTCTTATATGTCGCAACTGCGAATATGCCGTCGAGCCTTGAACATTATTCACGATGTAAAGAAACAAGGAGCAACACGCATTGCTTCAAAACATTCCAGGCGTAAAAATCGAGCAATTCTTTGAGAATCTACGCAATTTATCAACTTATGTTATGAATTACGAGCATTAATATATCTAGGTACAGGGTATACTAAAACATTTAGACAACTCGCCCTCGTTGTCTATGAGCGAATAATCAACTCAGGCTTCGCCTTCGTTGACTATTCGCTCATAGACAACTCAGACTCGTTATCTAATTGTTAAATAGAAGCACGCTTCTTGACCAATCAGCATGTGCGTACTATAAATGTTATTATAAAAGATTATATAAAATCACATGCACAGCCTATAAAAGTTAACAAATGAAAACTATTTTTTGTTCATAACTAATTTATTCAAGAATGTTTCTTACATACATACATATGTGTGTTATAGCTAATTTCATATTAGAGACCGCCAGACCGGACACTATGTCTGACATGGTCTGTCAGACCATGACTACCTGTTATATCCGAAAAGAACTAGATGAAAAATTTGGAAAAATTCATATTAGTATTATTATTATTATTCATATTAGATTAGTTTTCCGTTGCTAATATGGTTGAAAAGGGCTGATAGGAAAGATCTACAATTATAATTTCCCCCGAAATGAAGCGTGTTTCTGGTTCCTGACCTGTTTATTGGTTGGTGTTATTTAGAGTGGCAAACATGCATACATAAGTAATATCTAATTAGCCCAAAATGGCCTAATGGAAATCTTTTAAATTATATGGCTTAATCTATGTGGCTTAATCCACCTGGCACTTGAATCCATTTTCCTTTGAGAAGAGTAAATATATTTCCACGTTTGTTCACAGCCCAAGGTGTTCGAGTTATACCAGTATCAATAACAGTGAACTTTCTCTTCATTTTTGTCCAGCCACAATCTATTCAAAAAAGGATTTGAATGTTTAACCTTCAGCTGTTTGCAATTCATTTAAACACAGTTCATGATTGTCTATAATTAGCAGATAGGATTTTTTCATTTTCAATTTAGCAACATGCAAATATGATAGGTACATTATACCTGGCTTTGGTACCACTGGTTTTCCTGAAAGAAAAAAAGATATATGTGAGGGAAGTAACATATATTCAAAATATGATTGCAAAGATATTATAATATATGTAAACTAGCTGGATCCCTACCTGGTTTTCTAGGGATGCCTGCCGGGCCAACCAATTTGGCAACATCACTAGAAAATGGTGCCCCACGTCGCCCCACAGCATATACAAAGCCAAGACCAACAGATATACTAGACATAAGTTTCTTTCCTACAGGTCTCCATGCTGTACCAGTTGGATTTTTTTTAGTAATTCCTCGGCGAGTGTACACAATACCTCGGAATGTCACACCAAAAACAGCGCCGTCTGGACCAGACTCAATGGTCATTGGTCCCCCCAATGGCAGATATTCGCCATCAGGAGAAAGAGTAAGTGGAGAGGTGGGTTCGAGATATCAAAATGTGGTGGCTAGCTTTTAATTTATTTTCGAAATACTGAGGCTATACTCAAACAGGACCGGTCGACTTTAAAAGCGCGCCTGAATTTGTCTGGTTTAGGTGAAGATGTTTACATGGTGGAAACGATAAGTATACGTATTTACACAAGGAAACCAGTTCGTGTTAGCATATCCCGAGTGTACGAAAACTTCGGTTACTACGCCCAATCAAAATCATGTACAGCCTGTGGTGGCAATTTCTGCCAATCACGCAACAGAACCAGCATGAAGCATGCTCAAGCAACTTATGCATCACAGCGTTTGCCTTCTTCTCGGGTCATTCGATATTCTGCAACCTTACGGGTAAGCTGTTATTGGAGCTACCGCAGATAATTGCCGTCATCAAAAAGTGAAATTTTCACTGAGCATATCCAGGTACGTTGGTTTTTGATATTTACAAGCATCACTCTAGTTCCAAGGAACTCTGTGGTACACTGTAACAGAGTTTCTCATTTTAGCCAAAAACATTTCGCCACCAAAAAAGAGGGAAACGTCCAAAGAAGGATTCGAAGAAGAGTTCAAAAGTGAGTTTGATTTCCATTTTTATGTATATATGTATTGTAAAAACTATAATTTGCGGAAAAATCGAAAATATTGCCCATTTCTCAGTAATTGCAGCCTGTTTCAGTAGTTCCTATACGCCAATAAGACTATTTCAGGTCGCGCAATTTTTGCGAGCGACAGTTCAGTTAAAAGTTGTCGTTTTCAAAACTAAACGCGCGGACTTTTACATATTTGTGCTTGAGAAATATGCGAAAACGTAAATGCCATTCTTTCTATAAAAGTAAAATGAAATTTCTTAGGAAAGTGTGTCAGTTTCTTATTTCTTTTCGTGAAAATCAGTATTCATTTTGATTTACTGCTAAAAGACGTAATAGTAATGTCGAAAAAATAGTAAAAAAACCCACTTTTTTCATATGAGAAATGCCATTCATTATATGTTGCTGCATATGACGTACAATTTATTAAAATCCTAATAAATGTATGGATTTACTGTATATTTAATGATGAACTCACTTCTGGGCATGATGGTTATATAACCTCTTGACGAACACCATAGTCTCGCACGAATGTCCTTCCAGGCAGATTGCTCTCTAAAAACTTTAATACAAAATTTGCTTAAGGATATGTTATATAGCAAATATAAAATTATACCATTACATGTAAAAAGTTGCGCATACCATATATTTTACTGTTCATGCTCATAGTCATATACTTTAAATGTTTTAAACAAAATGCTTTTCTACGAATTTTTCACTATTGTGTGGCATAGATATATGTATTCTGCATATTGTTTGTTTGTTCAAAGTCCTAAACATGATGTACTTCATGCATGTAGTTCGGCTCTCAGAGCACCACATGTTAGAACTGTGTCTATATATAGTGCTACCTTTTTAATCTTTTCGCAAAATCCAATTTTCTTAAGAAGGTAATCTTCGGCAGCCGGAATGGTTATATAATCGACGAGCTTATCTATTACAAGGCCTGAGTCTACGATGGATTCTATGTTGGCAAGGAAAGTTCCTTCAGTCGGACCTGGAACAGATAGACATTTCACAGACGATTCAGTTTGGTTGAATAGTATAATTATGACGTATTTTTGGGTTCTGTTAATTACCTGAAATTGATGCTATCTTTATGTGGTTTTTCGTGACTTCTAAATTCTTATTCCTGCAATCCTTAATTCTTACAAAGTTTTTCTTCATGGATTTTGGTCCCAACTCTCCCAGCTTCGCAATTTAGATTGTCCAAACTCCCAATTTTATATGCGTATAGGCCCAATGATCCAAGAATTTGTTCTGTGTTTCTCATTTCGCAGTGTAATGCACATAAATTTACTGAATGCATTTCTTCATCCAGCAGTAGTGTGAGGTCATCACGAATCCCTTTCCAACTATATAGTATAAAAGAAAACAAATATGATTGAGTTGAAATTACTCACCTGTCTTGCTAACTATTACTAATTGCAACAGCGTTTTAAAGTCTAAATGAAATTATTTATTCTAAATCCTATATTTAATCTTTCATACTTTCCAATGTTTCCTTTGCTTTTAGCAAAACAGTCTATGCATGTTTCTCCAGCTGCTAACCCAGGACAAGCACATCCCTAAATAATGTGAAGAGAATTGTATATAATTCAACAACACATGTCAAATCAACACGAATAGCTCGATATATGCATTTGCAAAGAACTGTCACTGAAATGAATTGAATTTTTCAATCGAATATATTATGTATGTACAGTAAAATATATTCGCGTTGCTGCCGTTGCATGCCTAAATTGTATCCAGCGGCTGAACTAGGGACGGATAGTTTAGAGATTCCTAAATTCCTCGACCGCCGTTGTTGTCCTAAACTGTTACTTACTCTAATAGCAGTGCAAAATACGCAAAACTCTACACTTAATCCTCTTCCTCCAAGGATATTTCTTTTAATCTTTGCAGCTGGTGGGTCTTCTTCCTTCCTTTCTTTTTTAATGACAATCAATAGTAGTGCTTTATAGTCTAGTGTCACTATATAAATATTTAATTTTTGCAATAAAATTGGCAGATTGCATCCCCAACTTTTGAAAGCATGTGATTACATTTCACACAATTGCAAAGATGGAGTTAGAATTGTAATGACAAACAAGTCATTTCCCGAATACTCCATGCCATAACAGACGCTAATTGAACTTGTCCACCTGGTAGTTCATCAGGCAATTCACCAATACCAACAGTCTGGTATGTTGTGCGAAAGATAACATCCTTTATTGCACAAATCTGATTTTTAGTGGGAAGAATAGCAAAGTCTGTGGTTTTCTAAAACATTTGCATTAGAAAATATTTGTTGTGAAGTTACCGCAACACACTACTTGTAATAGTGTAATTAATAATTTAATTATTTTAGTAGAATCATACTAGTTAAAATACTCCACAAAGTAATTCAATATTTTCAAAAATTTACTAGGAAAATTATTGTTTTGCTACTCGTTATCTATCAATCAATCCAAGTAACCAATCAAATCACAGCATTTGCAATAGTAAATCAAAATATATATATAACATTTATGGCTCTGTAGGGAATGGCACTAGATACTGTCAACTGGCCTAAAGAGCCAAATGATCTTGTTAAATGTCTAACACTTTCATGCAACAGAGCCATGGTTCTAAGCCTAACATAGAATCCTTAACATGAACAAGTTAAGGCTAGTGTCTACTGGTATTGTACAAACATTACTTGTACTGTTTGAATTATATGACAAAAACAGTTTCTATATTTTTTATGATCGCATTCTTTGTTTACAACCCTGTGGACGTAGTGCAACGCTTTTGCAATTACTAGATGCAATTAAAAATAGTTCGCTATTTAATGCGAGATTGACTTTCATACGTTCATATAAAAGAAAGTATCACATAAATTATGGATAATATCAATATATAGTATCAAATATCAACATACCCCAGTGCGTCCCAGCTGAGTAAGATTTAGAAGCGTCTGCCATGCTGAATCGGATATCTTCGTTCTGACTTTTAGGAGAACATAGGTCCAATCTTGCATATGAAGTGATTCAAGCAGCATTGAGTGACTTTTTTCAGAAAGGGTCAAAGAAAAGGCCTTTTTCGCGACGAGCCTAGAAAACATGACTTCCGTTGCCCCTTGGACAATATCAGATTAAAACGGATCGCCTTCTGAGGCTGAATTGCTGATGATTTCATTGATATTTTCCTGGTGGGCATCTGCGATAACCTTCAGAGACTTAAAGAATTGTTCGCCTTTCATTTTGACGCGGCGTTTCCTTTCTTGCGGCGTTATTTCATTTGACTGTATCAAAGCACTTGTTGACGAGCGCGGACTTGAGATTTGCGCGGGAAACCCTGTCTTTACATTCTGAGCGTGTTCTTTTCTTGTAGAAGACGTATTTGTCTTTCCATGCGAATGCGCTTTGGGCTTGGCTCGTAGTTATCATCTGTGGCGTCTGCAATGAACTGTTCTAAGCACATTGTGTTGACTATATTTTTTATATTCTGAAATGCTCTGCATTCCAGGCATTCCTGACTTGGACTTGCTTGTCGTACCGCCAGAATGAAGATGCCAAGAGAGGTTATAGCATAAACTTCTTTTGCTTTCTGCACTCGGCCATTGAACCATTGGAAGATGGCATTTTGCCATTCCGGTCTTGAAGGTCGGTGATATTGACCTTCTTTACTTCGCTTGGGAAAAGTTGAAAGACTGCGCTTCGTTCATGCTTTCTATTCGATTTCGGATACCCAAAAAGCAAGTCGTTATAAGCGTACCAATTCTTGTTATAGTCCAAACAATGTGAATATATTTGAAAGTACATATCACTTGCGCAAATGCCCAGACCTATTGCACTACCAACTGCTTCGCGATACTATTCAATAGTTCGCGCGCGTTTACCTTTTTAGTCTCAAATGATGGCGTTGACAGATGTGTTCAACTATAAGTAGTTATTTATTAAACTAGTACTAATATAAAACCGGATTTATCAATGTTTAAACCACGCATAAAACTGGGGGAATTGAATTACACTTGCGCTTGTCTTCGAGCGAGTTAATTTAATTTACACATGTCAGCCCTCAAACGCCTTGCCAAATTATGTCATAGTAACGGACACCTTTTGCCTTAATTTTCTCACACATCGTGCGGGTCCTCATGGAGGACGATCCTTGTCAAAAACACCAAGAGCACTGATTGATAGATTAATAAATTTAACAGATTTGAAGTGCTTCTCTTGCTCTTTAATAAGTTCTTTATATTTTGTGTGTTTGCGATTTATGTTATATCTGAGGTTAGTTTCATATTCGACGGTTAGTTCTAAAATATATATAGGTGCTTGGCCTCTGTTGTAATCAGCAAATCAGGACAATACTTGTCACCAGTTATTATTGAGGGGTTAGAAAATCCGGGTATATTGGCAAATATATCTTGAAAATGCTCTGACGGCAGATAACAACAACAACAACAACAACAACAATAATAAAAACTTTATTTGACTTTTGTTTCTACATAATACAATTGCAAATCTCACTTTATCAAGGTAATTTACAATCGGCTACTTGAACCACAACTAATATCCTAATATATAACAAAAAAACATTTTAAGATTGTAATTTGTTGATTTATTTGCTCTACTATTGTATTGGTATTGAGCACTCTGATTTACTACGCACAGATCCAAATTTGCGTATATTTTGCACCTGGCGACGGTTGTGCACTCTGTTGTCTGTAGTTTTCAATAATATCTTGAAATGAATATGATCAATATAAACTATTCGCTGAAGAACATCGGTCTACCAAGTCACACAATATCATCATCAGTTAATTGAAAAAACAGAAAGCTTCATTCTTGGGAAAGCAATCTACGAACTGCGAAAATAAATTTGGATTACCATCACCAATTAGTGCTCCCATTATCACCCAGCTGAAAGACTTTGAAGACAATATTATTAGCATGATATCGAACATTGAATTCAAAAAGGTAAACGATCCTTTTCTAAAGAAAATTTCGAAAGACCTAGAAAATTTTAACTTGTCAAATAACAAGACAACAATGACATCATTGTTTTCGCTGATAAATCAAAGAACATTTACCAACTAAGTCCTGAATCATATGTTAAAATGTTGACAAATAACATAACCAAGAACTACAAACAATGTGATGAGAACATTGTGAATAGCGTAAACCATGAATTAAAAGATATTGCGAGTAAAATATTAGTCTCTGATCGAATCGATATTATGGCAAGAAAAGATGTGTTTGTAACTCTTTAAGATCATAAAGAGAATTTTGATACAAACCCAAAATGCCATCTTATAAACCCATCAAAAAGCGAACTCGGACGGATCAGTAAGGTCATTTTAGACAGAATTAATGATGCAGTAAGATCAATCACCAATGTAAATCAATGGAAGAACACTCAAGCTGTTCCAAAATGGTTCAAAGAGATAAAGAACAAGTGTGATTACTCCTTCCTTTCATTTGATATCAACGAGTTTTACCCCTCAATCACAGAAGATCTTTTAAACAAAGCAATATCTTGGGCGAAATCAATGACGAATATCTCAGACGAAGAGAAATCTATCATCAATCACGCACGTAAAACCCTACTTTTCCAAGGGGAGAAAGCATGGTGTAAAACTAATGACACTAATGGTTCTCTCTTTGACATTGCCATGGGAAGTTATGATGGTGCTGAGATCTGTGAACTTGTTGGTTTATTCATATTAGATACTTTAGTGGCGCGGTTTGGCAACAATATGGTTAGTCTGTACAGAGATGATGGCCTGATGCTGATAAAAGGTAAGAAGGCCAGATTAGCAGATACAGCTAGAAAGGAATTACATCATATCTTTGAGCAGTTCGGGTTGAGGATCACCTTGATATTACCCTGAATCTAAAAGAAGACAAATTCTCCCCCTACCGGAAACCTAATAACAATCCAGTTTATATCGACAGCCGATCCAATCACCCACCATCCATTATCAGACAACTCCCCAGAGCTATCAACAAACGAATATCCTCCCTTTCATCTGATAAATCCAGTTTTGTAACTGTTCAGTAACTGTCAAGTTAAAGAAGAATGCCCATTAAACGGCAATTGCCTAATGAAAAGCATTGTATACAAAGCTGACAGTCCAATCTAACAATGGGAAAGAGATCAAGCACTACATTGGTATGACAGCAGGCAGCTTCAAAATAAGATACAGCAACCATTTAAAATCATTCAAACATGAATGTTACTCCGGTGAAACAGAACTATCCAAATATATTTGGAAGCTTAAAGCGCAACAGGATCCATTCCAAATAAAATGGTCAATAATGAAACAAGTTCCCTCAGTTAGCCCCAGAATGAATGTTTGCCCGCTGTGTATTGAGGAAAAAAGGCTTATCATCTTATCTAATAAAGAAGAGTCGTTGAACAAAAGATCTGAAATATTCAGTAGACGCCGACATAGATTTGGCTTTAAGGCCTGTTATGTTAAGCGCGCGCAAACTGGTACATTTAGGCGCTTGTGTTAAACAATCAGAAATGCATGTGCATAACCGTTACATCTTAATTGTGTGTTAGTAATCGCCTGATCATCGTACACGGTAGAAGTACGTGAAACACAGTGTAGGGAAATAAAAATTTTAAGATTGTAATTTGTTGATATATAATATATATATGTATATATATAATATATATATATATATATATTTATATAATACATATATTATATATATATATATATACCTAATAATATTATATTGGTAGGTGGTTTCCTTTGTCATAAAAGTGCTCAACAAAAGGAGCTATATACAAGGTTTAAGAAGGCTATTTACACATAAAAACTACAAATTTCGAAATATATACTTGTTCGCTACATGTTCTTTAATAAAAGCTTTCCTCCGTGACGGCATTTGTTAGCAAGTTCATTTCTACTGTTTAATGTACCCATATGAGGTTTGCAAATGATAAAAAATTTCTCAGTGATGCATAAATTACATCGCTTGCTTACATTTGTATGCGGTTGTGCTCTGGCGATAATTTTCCATGACAACTTATAGCTGACGCCTTTGTCCTTTTGTTCCCAAATGTGTTTGCTCAGTTGCGTCGCATTCATTTTGTTTTTGTCCCTGAACGATGCTAAATGGTTGACGTATCTGGTTTTAAACTTGTTCTGTGTTAATCCAATGTATGTTTCTTTTCCTGTGTCTGTCTCCACTGTTGCTTGGTAAATTACATTTGTTGTTAAGCATTCTCCGTCCAGGGGACACGATAGCCTATCCCTACATGCCAAAAGTCTTTCGACGCAGTTGCACCAACTTACCAACAGGCCTTGCATAAAAGCGGATATAATTATACCCTCAAGTATGATAAACATCTGGGAGAAGGAATGCCAAAACAGACGAATCGAGCTCGTAATGTAACATGGTATAACCCACCTTTTAGCAAGCACGTAGCAACTAATGTGGGACAAAAGTTTTTATCGATTGTCAGAGGAACATTCGCAAATGGTCACCCACTCAGACAAATTTTTAATAAGAATACTTTAAAACTAAGCTACTCATGCATGCCCAACTTACAAGCTAAGATCAGTAACCATAACAAGGCATTATTACGGAAGACCAATGGGAAAAAGGAAGAAAATCAATCATGTAATTGCAGGGATAGGCTATCCTGTCCCCTGGACGGAGAATGCTTAACAACAAATGTAATTTACCAAGCAACAGTGGAGACGGACACAGGAAAAGAACATACATTGGATTAACGCAGAACAAGTTTAAAACCACATATGCCAACCACATAGCATCGTTTAGGGACAAAAACAAAATGAATGCGACGCAACAGAGCAAACACATTTGGGAACAAAAGGACAAAGGCATCAGCTATAAGTTGTCATGGAAAATTATCGCCAGAGCACAACCACATACAAATGTAAGCAAGCGATGTAATTTATGCATCATTGAGAAATTTTTTATCATTTGCAAACCCCATATGGGTACATTAAACAGTAGAAGTGAACTTGCTAACAAATGCCGTCACGGAGGAAAGCTTTTATTAAATAACGTGTAGCGAACAAGTATATATAAGACCGAAGTTAGCTGGTACACTATAGACCTGATGAGAGAGCACTCACTTTGGAGTGGTTTCGAAACAAATTTGTAGTTTTTATGTGTAAATAGCCTTCTTAAACGTTGTGTATATATATATATATATATATATATATATATATATATATATATATATATATTAATACAGGGTGTATCAAAAAAAATGTCCCAAATGTAAAATTTCCGTTTTTCAGGATATTTTGCAGAATGTGAAGCTGAAATTGAGATATTATTTAGCTGTCTAAAAGTAGGAAAGCTTTTTAATAAACTGTCAAAGTTTCAGGAAAAATACTGCAAACTGGGAGCAACGCGCGACCCCTAAAAGTGACAAATATTTCATTGCGCGCAGTGGATTAAATGCATGGTTGATTTTAGCGTGACCGA